CACAAATAGGATTTGGGGTTTGCCTCAGATGCTCGGATAGGTCATTGACCCCTGAAACACAAGGGAATTTGACTTCTGGACAGATAGTGCGTAAGAACCAAGGCTCTGGAGCCTGAGTGCTGGATTTCAGAGCCATGACTGTCACAGCTGTGCAACCTCAGACAAATCACTCAACCTTTCTGTGCCTTGGTTTCCTCATCTGAAAATGAAGAAAGTGCTATGACCTATTTCATAGAGTGTTAAATGCATTCATATATGTAAAAGATTTAAAAGTAAACTCGGCGTGTGGTAAACTACTTGTTAAGTGAATGGTGAGGCTGCCCAGTACAGGATGGCTGAGTTTTCTTGGTAAAGACTTTCTAGGCCTTCCAGGATTCTCAGGCCTTCGCTGTGTTGGTGGTTGTCGTACATTACAGCAGCATTCCTTCCAAAGGGATGCCCAGCTGTGGCTGCACACTGCAGTTAGATCCAGTTGATTGACAGCACTGTTCATTTCGACTGTGTCCTTACTGATTTTGGCCAGTTGGATCTGTTGATTACAAAAAGAGAGGTGCTGAAGTCTCCAACTTCCAATATTACCCAAAAATATTATTATTCAGAATAATTGCAGATTTCTCTATTTCTCGTTGCTGCGCTCAGTTTTTGCCTTACAGATTTTGAACCTCTGTTGTTAGTTGCGTACACATTAAGGATTGTTAGTTATGTCTTCTTGGAGAATTAGCCCCTGAATTATTATGTAGTGCCACTTTTTTTTTTTTCATTTAAAAATTTTTTTATTTTTTGAGACAGGGTCTTGCTCTGTTGCCCAGGCTGGAGTGCAGTGGCACAAACACAGCCCACTGCAGCCTTAACATCCTGGGCTCAAGCAATCCTCCCGCCTCAGCCTTCCCAGTAGCCGGGGCTATAGGAATGTGCCACCTCTAACAGCCTTTATTTAATTTACAGTAGTATTAGTTCATTCTCATGAGGCTCTAGGGACATGGCCGAGGCTGCATAATTTATAAAGGAAAGAGGTTAGACTCACAGTTCTTCAGAGCTGGGGAGGCCTCAGGAAACTTATAATCATGGTGGAAAGGGAAGCAAACACGCCCTTGTTCGCATGGCGACAGGAAGGAAAAGGTCAAGAAAAGGGAGGAAAAGCCCCTTATAAAACCATCAGATCTCATGAGAGCTCACTCTCTATCGTGAGAACAGCATGGGGAAACTGCCCCCATAATCTGATCACCTCCCATGAGGTCCCTCCCCCAATGCATGGGGATTACAATTCTGATTACAATTCAAGATGAGATTTGGGTAGGGACACAGAGCCAGACTATATCACATTAGTATTAATTTGTGCCTTCTCTCTTAATTTTTTTGATTTGCCCAGGTAGAGATTTATCAATTTCACTGATATTTTTGAAGAACCAACTTTTGATTTTTCTCAATTGATTTTTCTATTTTTAATTTCATTGATGTATACTCTAATTTTGTGTTTTTTTCTTTTGCTTGTTTTAGACATATATTGCTTTTCTGTTTCTAGCATTCTAAATGGAAACAGATTATTGATTTTAGAACTTTCTTTCTTTCTAAGATATGCATTCAATAATATAAATTTCCCTCTAAGCACTGCTTTTGCTACAACTCACGGATTTTGATGGGCTATATTTTCATTTTCATTTAGTTAAAAATATTTTTAATTTCTCTTGTGATATCTTCTTTGATCCGTATGCTATTCAGAAGTGTGTTTTTAAATCTCTAAATATTTGGTAATGTTTTGGCTTTCTTTCTGCTACTGATTTCTAATTTGAATTCATTGTGGCCTAAAAGCATACTTTGTATGCTTTCTAATGTTTTAAAGCTCTTAAAGTTGTTTTATGTCCCCGATTGTGGTCTGTCTTGGTCTTCATTCCACATGAACTTGAGAAGAATGTGTATTCTGCTGCTATGAGATGTAACATTCTATAAATGGATACCTCTGTTAATATGACCTCAGGTGACTCCTTTTATTTTTGAGCTGCTGCTTCACCATTGGCTTTTGGAGATTTCGCCGATGATAAAATCCACAGGACTCTTCTGCCGCTCAGGCTGACTTTCTTACCTACGCTTGTGGAACTGTTGCTGGAAATTGACAAGCAGGATCGCCAGCTCTTCCTGGCTAATTTTATTTCTCTTTATTGGGTTCAGCCTGCTGTTTTAGGTGATGAGGTTGAAGGAACTGGTGTACTGGAATCCTCGGTGGGCTCAGAAGCAAAGAACGTGGGTTCTGATTCTAGCTCTGCCCTTTACCCAGCTGTGGGACCTGGTGTATGGGTTATTTGACCTCTCTGGCCTCAGTTTCCTTAACTAGAAAGTTGCCTTGCAAGATTCTTGTGTGGATTCGATAAGGTAATACTTCTAAAGCACTTGGCAAAGTGTCAAGTACAAGGTAAGTGCTGGGCAAGCAGGGATTCTGTTTACACAAAGCCTTGGGTCCATGTAAGGAGGCGGGTCCCAATGACTCTGCTTAACCAAGACCTGAGAGTGAGTGCTCCATCCGTGGAGGAGTACAGGCTGAAACTGCCTGGCAACACGTCAGAGGTGAGTGTTCCCAGGACATCCTTGTCCAGGTTGGCAGCTGAGCTTGGCAGGTGACCCCGAGGCCCCTTCCAACTCCAGCACTTCAGGAATCTCTTGATTTAGAATGAGAACTTGCAATCACTTCCTCCTGCCACGTGCTTGATCTTGATAACCTGGCACTTAACTTTTAATTCTTTTACTCACCTGCATCTTTGTTCTTTTTCCCTCTGATGTGCAGGGAGGCCTCTTCTCCCACTGCCTCTGTGATTTCCCCTGAAATGTAGCACCCACGCATCCCTGAGCTGACTGCGGCACGCATGTGTGGGATGTGTGTGTGTGTGTGTGTGTGTGTGTGTGTGTGTGTCTGTGTGCACCCACATGGGTATTCATAAGTCTGGGTCTGCCTTCCACAACAGATTAAGGATCTCAATCCTGGCTCCATGCTGTGATGTTATAGTGAATCCTGACTGGGTTACTGGACTTTCCCGTTTCCCTTTGGAGGACTTTACCGTGAAAATCTTCTGCTGTGTGACCTTGGACAGGCGTCTCGGCCTCTCTGTTCCTCTTTATTCAAAATTGAGGCTAAAGTGACACCTTTACCATCTCTGCCACAGGATACCGTGGGCATCTGTGTAGTTGTGAGAGTGAAAGTTACTAAGACTTGCGGAGGAAATCAGTGTTGGGAACCCACCACCCCACTCCCACCCCTCCTTTTTGTAGCTCTGCTGTAACTCTCAGCAAGGAAGATGAGTTTGGGCTTTGAGCAGACACCAGGCCTCCGCTAGGGGGAGTTTTGCAGCCTCATGCTGAGCTGATTAGGGGCCCCACATCATGTCCAAAATGAATGTAATCAATGAACAGTGATGGTGCCAGGCACAGTTGTAGGTACTGAGGACTCAGCAGTCAATGAGACAGACCCTGGCTGTCAGGATGACAGACCATTTGAAAAGGGACAGCTGTCCCACGCTGGCTTGTCCTTTGCCCCCCGGCACTTCGTGAGGAGTGTCGGCCAGTTCCCACGTAGACCGGCCCTCACTTTACATCCGTCTGACGTTTCCAAACAATTTATGCATCCTTGGCAGGAACCCAGGAGAAGATGCTGTGTTCTTCTCAGGCATTGTTTCAGGGAGGTGATGGTAGCGATCTGTCCCATTCCTGTTGGTTAGTTAGATCACTTGGTTAAGGTGGCGACCGCCAGGTTTCTGTATTTGTGATGTTCATTGATGCGTATTCGCACTCATAAGTTAAGATGCAAGTTTTGCAGGGAGTTACTTTGAGGCTGTTTTTAGAGCTTTCTTTTCTTCCCTATTTATTTATTTATTAGAGATGAAGTCTGGCTCTGTTGCCCAGGCTGGAGTGTGGTGGTGCAATCAGAGCTCACTGCAGCCTCCAACTCCGGAGCTCAAGCCATCCTCCTGCCTCAGCCTCCCGAGGAGCTGGGATTACAGGCACATACCACTGTACCCCGCCTCCCCCACTTATTGATCTATGTCAATACAGACTCCTGGAGTTTAACTCCAAGGGCTACAAGTGGGTACCATAATATTGACTTTGATGCTCAGACGGTGTCCATTTTGTGCAGGTCAGGCGAGCCACTGAGCACTTCCTCACTTGTCCTTCCCTGGTACTCTTCCTTCTCCCGGAACCAGCCATTTCTCTAAGGAGTTCTGGTTCCTTCGGTGCAGAATGGTATTTAGAAGCCAAGACCTGGTCACTAGGATGGCATGATAATCAAATGCGATGAATGATCTTGGATTGGGTTCTGGATGTATAAGGAGCATTACTGAAGCCATTGGCGAAACATAAATAGGGGCTGTGCATGAGAGAGTGGCGGTGCATCCATGTTGATTTCCTGATTTTGATGGTTGTATTGTGGTTATGCAGGGAATGTCCTTGTTTTTCTGGCATGCACACTGAAGCATCGGGGTACTTTATTCATTATGGAGATACACGAGTGTTTGTATGTGTCTCATACACAGGTGTTCATTAATGGTGAGGTTATGTCCCTATAAACTCATCTTAAGTTGAAAATATTATTAAGTCAAAAATGCCTTTCATTCTCCTAACCTACAGTGCATCATAGCTTAACCTAGCTTGGAACATTTACATTAGCCTACAGCATTTTGAGAAGCTGACAGGGGTAGATCACAAGGTCAGAAGTTCGAGACCAGCCTGGCTAACGTGATGAAACCCCATCTCTACTAAACATACAAAAATGAGCCAGGCCTGTAATCCCAGCTACTAGGGAGGCTGAGAGGCAGGAGAATTGTTTGAACCCAGGAAGTGGAGGTTGGAGTGAGCTGAGATCGCACCACTGCACTTCAGCCTAGGAAACAGAGCGAGACTCTGTCTTGGGGGAGGGAGGGTGGGAAGGACAGGGCAGGGGAGGGGGTGTGTGTTATGTAAGGTAAGCTCTGTTGGAAGCACAGGTTGGCACTAACCAGTTTGTTCTCTCTCTGCAGGTGCCTTGGCATCTCCCAATGGGGTGGCTTTGCTCTGGGCTCCTGTTCCCTGTGAGCTACCTGGTTCTGCTGCAGGTGGCAGGCTCTGGTAAGTCACCACCTCTCAACCATTCATTTGTTGGCTATTAATGGCATGCCAGGATCCTGCAGTACATCAACTGGTGTTATGGAGACTACACTGCAGTGGGAGGGGACAGCCAATGACAGGTGGCCCTGATTATCAGTAAATTCTAAAGCTTGTTAGAAAATGATGGGGACTGGGTGCAGTGGCTCACGCCTGCAATCCCAGCACTTTGGGAGGCCGAGGTGAGAGGATTGCTTGAGCCCAGGAGTTTGAGGTCAGCCTGGGCAACACAGGGAGACCTTGTCTCTACAAATAATAAAAAATATTAGCCAGCTGTGGAGGTGCATGCCTGTAGTCCCAGCGACTCAGGAGGCTGAGGTGAGAGGATTCCTTGAACTCTGAAAGTCAAGGCTGCAGTGAACCGTGATTATGCCACTGTACTCCAGCCTGGGTGAGAGAGTGAGACCCTATCTTAAAAAAAAAGAGAAGGTGATGTGGAAAGAACACAGAACAGCATAATGGGGTGTTGGGAAGCTGGGTGGAGTGGGAACATTGCAGTTTAAAGGAGGGCAGCAAGGAAGGCCTCACTGAGCTGACTTGGAGGAAGCAGGAACCGTGTGCATATCTGGGGAAGGCTTATTTTTAGCACGGGCCATGCACTGAGCCTGGCTGGAGGGTTGGGCGCAGGAGGGGACATGGTGGAGGAGAGTGAACAGGAGGGGGCAGGGAAGGTCAGCGAAATGACAGGGTGGCAGGTTCAAAAAGGACCTTGCAATATTTGAGCAGAGGAGTCACAGAATCCATTGTGTTCAAAAGGACCCCTCAGGCTGCCGCGTGGAGAAGGGACAAGGGTGGACACCAGGAGGTCTGGAGGGAGGTCTGGAGTGGAGGAGGTGAGAGGCTCTGGATCCCTCTGGAAGGCAGATTCGAGGACAGATTGGAATTGGGGTGAGAGAAAGAGAAGTGGCCAGGATGACGCCAAGATTTCTGACCCAAGCTATTGGGAAGGACACGCTGTCATTTCTGAAGTGCAGAAGGATACCAGAAGAGAAGGCATTTTGGGGAGGGGCAGGAATCAGGAGTTATTCCGGACATGAGGTAAGCTTGGGATATTTATTTGCGATCTTAGACAGCTCCTGCACACAGCTTACGCCAGTGGATGTTGGCTGAGATGGGCCTGGCACTGCCCACGCACGGGAGCATGGAGGCTCCTGGGGGTGGGGGTCTGGGTGGTCTCACACTCAGATGATTTAGCAAAGCCGGTGTACATCCTGCCGATTCCAGCCCCACCATGGCCACTGGCAAGCTAGGAGGGTGCTGAAAGAAGGACCCCGGTGTTTCCCCCAACCCATGCATCTCTTCTCTCCCATTGGCCAAACCCAACTGGAAACCAAGGGCCAAGGGTACCCAGATGATGAAGACTGTGGGTGTCAGCCTCCTACGCACAGAGAGGGCAGAGAGGGGTGGGCACTACGCAAGGCGCAGGTAGTGGGCCAATGGGGAAGTGGCATTTCCCCCAGCTCGAGGGCAGAGGCTTGGTATGATGGAATGGCACTCCTCAGACTGCTACAGATTTTCCCTTTAATTTGGCCAAGGGCAGGTGGTCAAGTTTGTGTAAGATAACAGTGCACGGGTTCATTCTTCTCTAATGGCCCCTGCCCCCATGGGTATTTCTTCTGCTTCCACAGTCATCCTGACACTAGCTGGGCAGTACCAGCAACCCTGGTCCCGGCCCCAGCTCTGTGGGCGCTGGCCTCAACTGTGCCTGCATTGTGGTTTTGTGCCTGTCCTGTTGGTCCTGTTTGGGTGCAAGTCCCCCTCATGCATTGGGTTCCTGGGCACTCAGGGTGCACCTGTGTCTCCCCAGGGAGCATGAAAGTCCTGCAGGAGCCCACCTGCGTCTCCGACTACATCAGCCTCTCTACCTGCGAGTGGAAGATGGGTGGTCCCACCAATTGCAGCGCAGAGCTCCGCCTGGTCTACCAGCTGGTTTTTCTGATTTCCGAGTAAGCCTGCACTGGAGCTGGAGGTTTGGGGAGGCTTTGCCCAAAGTGTTCACCCCAAGAATGAGCCGTGTCCAGGCGGTGTGGTGGAGGGCAGCGAGCAGAGTATGGTTTGCTGCCTTGTTTTGAGTTTGGTGTTGGCAGGGGGGTCCATCTCCGGGGACATGTGTAAATACAGGGAGCACGTGACGGGAGCATTGATCCATGTGGCACATGGATATGGCTCGAATATTGGACTAGACCAGCAGTTCTCACACTTTGTGGACCCAGGACCCTGTTTCACACTTAAAAACAACTGAAGACCCAAAGGGCTTTGGTCTATGTAACGTATTGTTCTGTATTTACCTAATTAGAACTTAAAATGGAGAAATTTTGTACATTTTTTTTTTTTTTTTTTTTTTTGAGATGGAGTCCTGCTCTGTCGCCCAGGCTGGAGTGCAGTGGCACAATCTCGGCTCACTACAATCTCTGACTCCCGAGTTTAAGCAATTTTCTAGCCTCAGTCACGAGTAGCTAGAATTATAGGTGACCACCATAACGCCTGGCTTATTTTTTTGTATTTTTTTTTGCTTAGTAGAGACAGGGTTTCTCCATGTTGGCCAGGCTGGTCTCAAATTCCTGACCTCAGGTGATCTGCCCGCCTCGGCCTCCCAAAGTGCCGGGATTATAGGCGTGAGCCACTGAGTCCAGCCGAAATTTTATAATTTTTAAAAAGTTAAAACCATTTAAATTTTGTAATATAGAGAGATGGGGGTCTCGCTGTGTGGCCCAGGCTGGTCTCAAACTCCTGGGTTCAAGTGATCTTCCTGCCTCAGCCTCTCAAAGTGCTGGGATTACAGGCATGAGCCACTGCGCCTGACTATTATTATTATTTTGAGACAGAGTTTCACTCCTCTTGCCCAGGGTGGAGTGCAATGGCACAATCTTGGCTCACTGCAACCTCCACCTCCCGGGTTCAAGTGATTCTCCTGTCTCAGACTCCCTAGTAGCTGGGATTACTGGTGCCTGCCACCATGCCCAGCTGATTTTTTTATATTTTTAGTAGAGACCAGTTTTCACCATGTTGGTTAATCTGGTCTCGAACTCTTGACCTCAGGTGATCTGCCTGCCTTGGCCTCGCAAATCCCAAAGTGCTGGGATTACAGGTGTGAGCCACGGCACACACCGGCCTTCTCCTTTATATTAATTGAAATAATTCAGAAATGGAAAGTCAAATACTGCATGTTCTCATTTACAAGTAAGAGTTAAATGATGTGGACACATGACATCATTCCATATCCGATGGAATAGTAGACATTGGAGACTGGGAGGGTGGGAGAGGGTGAGGGAGAGAAATGACTTCATGGGTGCAGTGTACACCATTCGGGCGATGGACCCACTAAAACCCCGGACTTCACTGCTGTGCAGCACATCCATTGAGAACAGATCTGGGGGTTGCCATCAAAATCACACTTGCAAGACCAGGCGCTGAGGTGGCTCAAGCCTGTAATCCCAGCATTTTGGGAGGCCGAGGTGGGCAGATCACCTGAGGTCAGGGGTTCGAGACCAGCCTGGCCAACATGGTGAAACCCTGTCTCTACTAAAAATATAAAAATTAATTTGGGTGTGGTGGCAGGCGGCTGTAATCGCAGCTGTTAGGGAGGCTGAGGCAGGAGAATAGCTTGAGCCTGGGAAGCGGAGGTTGCAGTGAGCTGAGATCGTGCCACTGCACTCCAGCCTGGGTGACAGAGCAAGACTCCGTCTCATTTAAAAAAAAATGCGCTTGTACCCCCTAAATTTATGCAAATAACCAAATAAATAAATAAATAAATAAATCGTATGGCCGTTGAAGTCCAAAATATTGACTGTCTGGCCTGTTAGAGAAAAAGTTTGGAGATCTGTGGCTGTTAAGGTGGAACACTGGAATTATCCTACGGTGGCCATGGCACACTGCCGTCTACTGTACACTGGTGTCAACTGTGCGATGCAGAGTTTATGTTGTTCTAAATTAATTAGTGCCGCCCATTCTTCCCTTTCATGGGCTTTCAAGGACAAGCTAAGTCCCAGGACCAAGGCCAGCAGCTAAGGGGGCTGGCGTGAGGGGCATCCATGGTGTATGTTGTAGGAAACTGAGGCCAGCAAGAGAGGCAAACCTGGTCGGTGTCCCCAGCACACGCTGACTGCTCCCAAGCCCCCAGATCTGTCATCACATCAGTAATCGGGAAGCGGGTAGAGTATGATGCGGTTCCTTGAGGCACATCCGGGGCACAGCCAGCCTACAGGTGACCAGCCTAACCTGGCCTCTGTGTCTGCAGAACCAACATGTGTGTCCCTGAGAACAACGGAGCTGCGGGGTGCGTGTGCCACCTGTTCATGGAGGACATGGTCGGAGCAGACAACTACACGCTGGACCTGTGGGCTGGGCAGCAGCTGCTGTGGAAAGGCTCCTTCAAGCCCAGCGAGCACGGTGAGGGGGCGGAGTGCAGCCGGGGTGGGTGGGAGGGTTCCCACAGCAGGCTGGGCTGGGGGTGGGGCAGGCAGGGGGAGGTGGGGTCAAAACAGCAGCCAGAGGAAGCCGCCTGTATTTTCCCAAATCTGATGGGATTCTTGCCCCTGCCTGGGCCTCAGTCCTCCCATCTTTGAAATGGAGATGGACACAGTAGACCACCAATCCCCCTCAGCTCAGCTGTTTCCACCTCTGAACTTACGTGCCCAGGAAGGCGTATTGAGATGAGGCGTGCTTGCTGAAAGGCATGCCTGCTGCAGATTGAAAAATAAACCAGGTAGCCGGGCGCAGTGGCTCACGCCTGTAATACCAGCACTTTGGGAGGCCGAGACAGGCAGATCCCCTGAGGTCAGGAGTTTGAGACCAGCCTGGCCAACAGGGCAAAACCCCATGTCTACTAAAAATACAAAAAAATTAGCCGGGTGTGGTGGTACATGCCTATAATTCCAGCTACTCGGGAGGCTGAGGCAGGAGAATCGCTTGAACCCAGGCCAGGTGGCGGAGGTTGCAGTGAGCTAAGATCGCGCCATTGCTCTCCAGAATGGGCAACAAAGTGAGACTCCCTCTCAAAAAGAGAGAGAGAGAGAGAGAAAGACAGAGAGAGAGAGAGAGATAGAGAGAAAGACGGAAAAAGGAAGGAAGGAAGGAAGGGAGGCAGGCGGGAGAAAGAAGGAAAGAAAAAGAAAGAGAGAAAGAAAAGGAAGGAAGAAAGAAATGGGAACGGTCCTTACATTCTGTGTCCACTGGTCAGCGGCTGCTGCGTCAGACGGTCTTGACCATGGAAGGCTGACCTTGTCCTGGTACCTGGAGTCCCTGCAGGAATTCCCCTGAGAGCTTGCTGGGGTTTGGAGACAGGCGTTTAAAGCATCGCTCATTGCTGTATGACCTCGGGCAAGCCATGTTTCCTCTCTGGGCCCATTTCCAGAGAGTTATTATCCCCATTTTGCAGTTGAATGAACTGTAGTTCTGAGAAGGCAAGTAACCTGCCTCAGGTCACACAGCTCCTCAGCCGCAGAGGCAGTGCTCAAGGCCAGGGCCCTGCAGGGCTCAGGTTCACCGCTCCATCTGCTGTTCCTAAAGGTCCGCTTAGGGCTGGTGGCTGGGAGCTTGTTTAAACTGACCCATGAATGAACTTTAAGATAATTTTTACATTTTAATATTATTTTTATTTTTATGTGGTTTTTTTTTTTTTTTTTTTTTTTTTTGAGACTGTCTTGCACTGTCACCCAGGCTGGAGTGCAGTGGCGCGATCTCAGCTCACTGCAACCTCTGCCTCCTGGGTTCAAGCCACTCTCCTGCCTCAACCTCCTGAGTAGCTGGGATTACAGGTGCCCACCACCACACCAGCTAATTTTGTGATGGGGTTTCACCATGTTGACCTGGCTGGTCTCGAACTCCTCACTTCGTGATTCACCCACCTTGGCCTCCCAAAGTGCTGGATTATAGGCGTGGAGCCACCGTGCCCAGCCTGTGTTTATTATTTTTTGAGAAACAGGGTCTCTGTTGTCCAGGCTGGAGTGCAGTGATGCGATCAGAGCTCACTGCAGCTTCTAATTCCTGGCCTCAAGTGATCCTCCCACCTCAGCCTCCCGAGTACCTAGAACTAAAGGTATGTATCACCGTACCTGGCCAACTTAAACAAAATTGTTTTATGTGGAGGTGAGAGTCACACTCTGTTGCTCAGGCTGGTCACAAACTCCTGGTCTCAAGTGATCCTCCTGCCTTGGCCTCCTAAAGTGCTGGGGTTATAGAAATGAGTCTACATGGCCAGCCTACATTTGGGTTTTAATATAAATGAAATATATTTTAGTAGATTGATTTTAATGCATAGTATAACATGCATCACAGGAATAGAAACCTGAGGTCTCATGGATATAATTGCCTCGGAGGAGACCAAGTTTTAAAACAGATGAATCAATATAAAGACAAATATTCTTTATTTTTCTGTAAATAATCTTACAGTACAGAGATATGTTCAAAGGCGTGAAGGATGCAACCATAGAAGCTGAAGTTTGAGGCCGGGCGCGGTGGCTCATGCCTGTAATCCCAACACTTTGGGAGCCCGAGGTGGGAGGATCACCTGAGGTCAGGAGTTCGAGACCAGCCTGACCAACCTAGTGAAACCCCATCTCTACTCAAAATACAAAAAATTAGTCTGGCCTGGTGGCGGGTACCTGTAATCCCAGCTACTTGGGAAGCTGAGACAGGAGAATCGTTTGAACCTAGGAGGCAGAGATTACAGTGAGCCGAGATCATGCCACTGTACTCCAGCCTCGGCAACAGAAAAAAAAAAAAAAAAAAGCTGCAGTTTAGGTTACTTTGGCTCATACATTTTGCCTTCCCTGTAGAAAGGTGGTTAATAAAGACCAGGCGTGGTGGCTCATGCCTGAAATCCCAGCACTTTGGGAGCCCGAGGCGGGTGGATCACTTGAGCCTTGGGAGGCTGAGGCTGCAGTGAGCTGTGATCGCGCCACTGCACCCCAGCCTGGGCAACAGAGTGGGAACTTGTCTTAAAAACACTAAGACATAAGAAATAAAGGGTAATTAATAAACTCAAGTGCTAAGTAGAATTTTAGCAACGTTATCGTCTTGTGTTGTGGCTCTGTTGTGTGGTGCTCAGCAGTGTGCTACAGAGGTGTTGTCAACCAAAAGTCGGGGTGGTGGCTGTGGTTTGCGGGCTGGGGCTGGGCCGGCTGACAGGGAGGTCACTGCACAGATCCTCAGATAGATGGTGCTTCTCTCGCAGTGAAACCCAAGGCTCCAGAAAACCTCACGGTTTACACCAATGTCTCCGAGACTCTGCTGCTGACTTGGAGTAACCCGTATCCCCCTGATAATTACCTGTATGAGAAGCTCACCTATGCAGTCAACATTTGGAATGAAAACGACCCGACAGATGTGAGTGGGCACACTTTGCCATTTCTCTGTGACCTCTGGGGAATGGGGTGGGTGACCGACAGAGACCCAGTCTCTGGCCCTAGGGGCTGGTAGCAAATCCTAGGAGCTAGAGACCTGGCTTCTTCCCCAGCTCTGCCCAAGGCAAGTCTCATCACTTCCCGGTCCCCCCACCCACAGCGTGCAGAGAAGGCGCGTGATTTCTGCATGCTGCTGCTCATCTGTAAAGTTAGGGCTGTGGGCCACGTCTGTTTCCCAGTTTGGGGGACGCAAGCGATCATAGGTGGCACATTGACAGCTGACTTGAATAACTCTGGTCCCAAAGTGAGAGAGTGACCCATGTCAGTTCCCTTTTGAGATCAGCCCATTAAGGAGGAAGTCTCCATGGAGCTGTATCACGGTCAAGTTCTAATTCTTCTTAATGAAGAGAGCGGAGGCCACACCACAGGCTTAGAACTTGCCCGAGAAAGCAAGGTCATTGTGTTGCTTGGTCCCCATGGCAGTCAGGCCTGACATTCCCTTCACAGTAGTGTAGTTTCTGGTGGTGGTGTTTGTTTTGAGACGGAGTCTCACTCTGTCACCCCGCTGGAACACAGTGGCATGACCTCAGCCCACTGTAACCTCTGCCTCCTAGGTTCAAGCGATTCTCCTGCCTCAGCCTCCTGAGTAGCCAGGACTACAGGCACCCGCCATCATGCCTGGATAATTTTTCTATTTTTAGCAGAGATGGGGTTTCACTGTGTTGGGCAGGCTGATCTGAAACTCCTGACCTCAGGTGATCCACTTGCCTCGGCCTCCCAAAGTGCTGGGATCACAGGCATGAGCCATTGCGCCCGGCCAATGGAGTTCCTTCTTAAATACATGTGTTGACGTCTTTAAAAAGGAAGAAAGGATTTACAGGAAACTATCAGTTCAGGAATAGCAGGGGCCATACGCAGTGGGTGGCTGAGCCCCCCTATTTTTGCTGCTGGTGTGCGGGGAGGTCATTTCCTGCCACCCATGATTCCCCACTGAATCCACCTTCCTCATGTTCCCATTGGAGGGACAGTCTCTGGACACATGGGACTTGGGGTCCCACAGGGCTGCATCCCAATACCTGCTCTCCTATTCGCCAGCTGTGTGATTTAGGGTGTGTCCCTCTGTTCCTCAGTTTCCCCCATCTGTAACAGGGATGACAAGAGCATTCGCCCACAGGGCAGTGAGAGTACAAGGTGTGTGATACAGATGAGCTCCCGTTTGGCACACATGTGTCCTAAATGCGATGTACCATTTCTCCTGAGTGCCCCAGGCCACAGAGTTCCCCATCTGCCTGCTGTTCCACACATGGGTCTATCATTTGCTCCTTGAGGTTTGTGAGAGCCTGCTCTGTGCATCCCAGAGGCCCAGGCTGGTCCTGTCTGGCCATCAGGGAACAGGCACCCGCCACTGTGAGCTCCCACACTGGCATCTGTCGCTGCTTCCTCTCATTCTGACCAAGCCAGGGGTGGGTGTTGATTTGCATCTCTCAGGTCTGGTTTCCCCTTTGGCACTGGGCCAGGTGTGGGGAAGGAGCAGGAATGGGGCAGTTGGCTCACAGAGGCTCAGAAAGCCGGGGGGATGAAGGAGAGGTGTGCACAGGTGGTAGAGAATGGGGAAAGTTTTGTTTGGTCATGAAATCTCTTCCCCATGCCCCAGGCCTGTGCAAGACCTACTGAGAGTCCCAGGGATGAGCTGGAGGGAGGAGAAGGTACCACCTATAGAGTCCAAAGAAATGTTATTTAATATTTGCAGATGTCCAGATCTGCCTTCAGGCATGGCTGGATCCAGCTTCTAGGAACCTGTCCAGCTCTGGGCCCTGCTTTATTCTGTACTGGCTCTAGGAAGGCTCTTCTGTGGTGTTGTGGCAAATATGCCCACTAGTTGTTCCAGGCCTATATCCCAAAGCCATCGTGGAAAAAGGGTTTTTTCTTGATGGTTCTAGTAGGAGTAGTGGGCTGCTGCTCAGTGGCCTGGCTTGGATCCCATGCCAGCCTCTGAACCAATCACTGATGGTGGGTGCAGTGGAGGGCCCTGATTGTCTAGGGATTAGTCACATACCTGCCACTAGGGCAGCAGGTGGGCTCAGCGCCACCCACACCAGATGAACTGAAAATAAGGTAGGAGTGGCTTCCCTGGCAGAAACTGGGCAAAAGGAAGCAGGACTGCAGTGGCTGAAATGCCAGCCGGGTTTAAGACCTGGCACCCGATGCCAGTCACGGTATTGGATTGGTCAGCGTGCCTGGGTTATGACTTACGGGTATGTTTAGGGATGCCTCTGGATCGCAGGTCTGAGGCAGAAGGATGAAGTCCAGCTTCTCTTGTGTGTGGGACAGTGGCTACTGAGATGCCCCATCTCTCCCTTCCTAAGGACAGAGCTGAACATAAAGAATTTAGTCATTGGCCAGAGCTGGCCACATGCTCCCCTGTGATCCCTGACAGGCCAGGTGATGGGACTGGCACAATTGGCTTAGACCAAGGAGGGTTAGCACTGGAGTTGCAGGCAGTGGAGTTCCGTCCGAATCAGGGGACACCTAGACCTGACGGCATAGAAGCCGGGGATGGGGGGGTGTTCACCTGTGTCTGCCATAGCACTGCAGATACCAGCTGTGGCTCAGACTGAGTGGGATAAATTCCAGAAAGACACATTAGGAACTTACTACAGAATTGTTGGGGCCAGAGCTGCTCATTCATTTCTAGGCAAGGTTCCATAGTGGAGGTGGAGTTTTGGCTTGGGCATTGAAGGATGCGTAGTTTTCTAGATAGGAAAAGGAGGGAAGGGTAGACCAAGCAAAGGGAACTGTATGAGGAATGGTTTATAGGTCTGAAAATTCATGGGATTTTTGGGGACCAGAGGGACGTGGATGTGGGAATGTGTGCAGTGAAAAAGCACAAAAGTTCAGTTAGAGCCCCGAATGCCTTCCTCATAATAATGGTTTCCATATTTTATATGCCTGCTATGTGCCAGGCACATTGCCCAGGGTCACACAGCTGGAAATGGCAGGGCTGAGGTTTGTTTTGTTTTGTTTTGAGACAGAGTCTCACTCTGTCACTCAGGCTGGAGTGCAGCGGTGTGATCATGGCTCACCACATCCTCGACTTCCCGGGCTGAGGTGATTCTCCCACTTCTGCCTCCCAGATAGCTGAGACTACAGGCACAGGCCACCATGCCAGGCTAATTTTTTTTTGTATTTTTAGTAGTGACGGACTCGCCATGTTGTCCAGGCTGGTCTGGATCTCCTGGCTTCAAATGATCCTCCTGCCTCAGCCTCCCAAGGTACTAGGATTACAGACATGACCCACTGCGTCTGGCCCAGATCTGAGATTTGCACCCAGGATTTGAACTCCCAAGCCTGTGCTCTTTTTCTTCCCATGGACGTTTCTTTCAGAGATGGTCTCCCGAACACCTGGCCTTCTTGTTAAAAAAAAACAAAACAAAACAGAAAAACCACAAGTAGTTCCTTGGAAGCTCAGATTTCTGTTTTGTGTCTTAGTAAAACATTTCCCAGTTCCCAGCTCTCTTCGGGGGTATAAGATTTCTTCGGTACCTTACATCTAGCTGTTGCTTCTTATTTACCCATGTTTAGAAAGAAAGATGAAAGGGAGTAAAACCGTTCTCTCCCTTCCCCAATCTCCCCCCAGCTCACACCCTCCCTCAGCTCCTCTGTAACAGGAAAATCTGTGAACTCTCTGTGGTTGCTCTAACAATCTGTTGGGACTTTGCTTATTTCTTGTGAAAAACCTCCCCTTGACTCACTTTGTATCAGATTTCCCCAAATGTGGTTCCAACCACAAGTAGAAATGGAGCTGCCAGGAACTGGGAAGACACAGGAGGAGGAGGAGGAGGAGGAAGAGGAGGAGGGGGAGGGGGAGGGGAGGGGGAAGTGCACAGCACTGGATCTCGCAGGGAGAGAAGTGACAGGATGAAGACTCGGGTCACTTACTTGCCATTACAGTCGATCATGAATACAGCTTTCATTTCATTTATCACATTTTAAAGCTTTTTTTGGAGGGTAAAATTAATAGTTACACAAAGTAAAAATACAAATGGTACAAAAGGACTTAGAACTGAAATATGCTTATCTCCTGACTCCAGCCTCCTGTTTTTCTTCCCAGAGACTGACCACTGCTACCTGTCTCTTGCCAGGAGGGAAAGGGAGGCAAGAGGGCATGTGCTTCCTCTAGAGAGCTAATGTCTATACAAGCAAATGCGTGTGTTCATTCTTTGCTGTCTTAGTTTTCTATTGCTGTGTAATAATGGTAGCACCAACTTCATAGCTTTGAACAACACCCATTTATTATCTGGAAGTTTCTGTGGGTTGGGAGTCTGGGCATAGCTTAGCCAGGTTCTCTGCTTTAGGGTCTTAAGAGGCTATAATCAAGGTGTGGGCTGGGGCTGCAGTTTCATCTGAATCTGAGGCTCAACTGGGGAAGGGTCACTTCCAAGCTCATATGATATAGGTGGCCTTCAGTGCCTGGCAGGCTGTTGAACTGAGAGCCTCAGTTTCATGCTGGCTGTTGATTGTAGTTAACCCTGAATTCCTTCCTGTGTGCCCTTTGCAAAGCCATCAAGGCAGAGAGACTTGCCTAGCAAGTAGAATATTACAGTCTTCTGTAATACAATCATATGCATGAAATCCCATATATATGCCATCACCTTTGCCGTATTCTACTGGTTAGAAACAAGCAACAGGTCCTGCCCACACTCAAGAAGACCAGATGACACAAAGACGTGATTCAAAGTGGGGAATTATGGGGCCATCTTAGGTTTGTCTGCAGTGATCACTGAGCCATCTCATTTTTTTTTTTTTTTTGAGACAAAGGGTCACTCTGTTACCCAGGCTGGAGCACAGTGGTGTGATCTTGGGTCACTGCAATCTCTGCCTCCTGGTTTCAAGCGATTCTTGTGCCTCAGCCTCCCAAGTAGCTGGAATTACAGGTGCTCAGCACCATGTCTGGCTAATTTTTATATTGTTTGTAGAGACAGGTTCTCACCATGTTGGCCAGGCTGGTCTCAAATGCCTCACCTCAAGTGATCCACCTACCTTGGCCTCCCAGAGTGCTGGGATTACAGGCATGAGCCACCATACCCGCCCCCATCTCTCTTTAAATAAATAAATAAATAGAAACAGAGAACAAATACTCATCTGCATCTTACCTTGTTTATTTAACAATAGATCTTGGAGGTCACTTCTCAGTGAAGGTTAGATTGGGCTGAGCATTAGATTCTAGACCAAGGAGTTTGGACTTGATCATGGAGACACTAGGGAGCCCAAGAAGGATAGAGAGAGATGCCTTCACCCTGCCAGTGCTTCGGAAAGATCACCCTGAGCTTTTTGTATATTAAACCCTATTCAAAATACTTACCTATATCAACCCACGTCCTTATCACTGCAACCGTGGGGGGAGGAAAGTAGGCACTTTTATTACCCTCATTTTGCAGATGAGGACATTGAGGTCCAGAGAGGTTATGTCAGTTACTTAGGGTCACATAGCCAGGAAGTGGTGGTAGGGACTCTTACACTTGTTTTACAGATGAGATTGAATTATCTCACAAAAACTCAGAAAGGTTGTTAAACAGCTTGTATAAGTAACATAACATGGTGAACTAGTCCGGGAGCCTGACCCATGTTGCTTGAGCCTGGTCACAGTTACGGAGGTGGCAAGCAATGGCCTAAACAGGAAGAACAGCCAAATACCCTGGCTGGTGGCTCTTAAACATGGCTGGTGGGGTCAGCTAAGGACAGCAACCAGGGTGGGAACTGGTCCCCCTCGCCCCCAGCTAGGACACTAATGTCTCTCTTTTCTCTATCAGTCCAGAATCTATGACGTGACCTACCAAGAACCCACCCTCCGCATTGCAGCCAGCACCCTGAAATCTGGAGTTTCCTACAGGGCACGGGTGAGGGCCTGGGCTCAGAGCTATAACAGCACCTGGAGTGAGTGGAGCCCCAGCACCAAGTGGTATAATGGTGAGTATCAAGAGGCCTAAGCAATGCTAATCTCCATTCTCCATTCTTTCCCTGTGGCCAGACACTTCCTCTGGCTGAATCTCTGGGTTTTCATATCATAGGATGCCTCCACTGGCAAATAATGGAATTACCACCTGCCATGGTGTATCAGTCAGCTAGGCTGCAGTAACAGACAAGCCCATGATTTCCATGGCTTAACACTATAGGAATATATTTCTTGCTCTTGTAACAAGCTAATGTGAATATTGCCGGTTTGTGGGTGGTTTTCTTCCCTGTAGAAATTTGGGGAGTGAGGTTCTGTCCATCTTCTCGTGCCATCATTCTCCAGGACAAAGATTCTTAACTGTTTTTGTGTCCTGGTTCCCTTTGGCAGCCCGGTGAAGCCTAGGGACCCCATCTCAGAATATTTTTAAATACATAAAATCCCAGCCTGGGCAACACAATGAGACCCCTCTCTGTACAAAAAATTAGCCAGGCATGGTGGCATGCACCTGTGGTCCCAGGTACTTGGAAGGCTGAGGTGGGAGGATTGCTTGAGCCCAGGAGTTTGAGGCTGCAGTGACCCTTGATTGTACCACTGCACTCCCACCTGGGTGACAGAGCAAGAGCCTGTCTCTAAAAATAAATAAATGCAATGAAATAAAATAAATTACAGAGGAAACGAATTGTATTGAAATGCATTTATAAAATATTTTAAACACATTTTTAATCTCAGGATATATGTGCTTCCTTATTAAGATATATAAAAAGTTCTAGATCTCGTAAATACTATAATTTCAAAGTAGATAACCATAAATAATTCTTTACGATACTGAAACTGTGATGTGATATGAGAATAGCTGCGAGTTTTGCTGGGAACAGGATCACTGGCACTGTCATTACTGGGCTCTCCTCCCTCCATTCTTTTTTAAAATTTTTATTTTTAAAATGTTAAAATAAATAGACAGGGTCTCACTATGTTGCCCAGGCTGTTCTTGAACTCCTGGGCTCCAGTGATCTTCCCACCTTGGCCTCCCAAAGTGCTGGGATTACAGGTGGGAGCCAGAGTTCCCGGCCCCTCTCCATTCTTAATGGAAGGAGATGCTGAGTGTCAGAGGTTAGCGAAAATAAAGATGTAATTTCCAAGGAAAAAAAAAATGGTAAACATAAATGAAAAAAATAGAATAAGTGACGAAAAAACTAAGCCAAAAGATGAGTAATCCAGTAATAGAAAACATAAAAGAATTAAGAAAAAAAGGGGGCTAAAAAAAAAGATGTAATTTCCCTTCCAAGTTCTCAGACCCCTGAATTCTATCTGCAGCCATGTTGGTCTATAGATCCCAAGGGGACAATCCCTGTTATGGCCCCCTCATTGCCCGCGTCCAGCCAGTAGAAGGGGTGTGATGGTGTGGAGACCACACCTGCTTCTTGAAAGCAGGAAGCCCGGAAGTGGCCCGCATCACTTCCTCTCAAATTCTATTGGTGAAAATAGTCACATGACTACACATAGCTGCGAAGAAGCCTGGGAATTTTCTCACTTGTAACCTACATTCCAGAAACAACCCTTTTCAGTGCTGTATCCCACAGGTCTTTTGCAGTAGAAATATTGATTATCTCATGTAAAATGAAGTCTTACAAATGGACCTACTGGGGTTTGTACAGCAGCCAAGTGATATCTCTCCCCTGTCTTCCCTTCTGCCATCCTTCACACGGTTTCATTTTATCCTTAGACTTGCCACCCATGGCCTCAGGTTGGCTGTTGCCCACTGCCTCATAAAGCAGGAAGGAAGCAAAAGGCTGCCACCAAAGAATGTACCTTGTGCATGTCTCCTTTTTATCAGGAAGCAAACATCTTTCTAGAACTCCCTAGCAAAATTCTCCTTACTTCTCATTGGCCAGTATCGTTACATGGTCTCTTCTCATTGCAAGGGAGAGTGGGAGCTCAAATGCCTGGAAAGGGGAATAGGATAATTGTGATTGGCCCAAGCCTCAGGGTGGGCGTGGCCCCCTGGCAAGGGAGAGAGGAAAAAGATGTGGAGTAAAGAAGAGTGCTTCAATTTCCCCAGCTGTTTAATGGGAGGAGTAAGGGCAGTTGTGAAAACTCAATGAAAGAAGATTCTTCAACATGGTGGGCATGGTGGCGGCTGGCAGTACCCAGACCCAGCCACCACACAGCCCTCTCAGCATTGCTCATCCTGCACTGTGGATATCAGTGGAGTGACATGTCTCCAGCCCTGGACTGTGAGCTCCGTAGGCAGCATCTACTCCATGCCTGTATCTCCAGGGCCTATCCCTGGGATAATTTTGTTGAATTGATTCTCATCTGCCATTGAACTGGGGAAGGGAAATAGCTTGTATAGAACAGATAACGATGTTTGGGACCCTCATTAATTATTTCAGCAATAGTTACTGAGTTCCTCCTGCATGGCTAGCCCTGTACTAGACACTGGGGAATCAGCGATAAACAAAACGGATATTAATCCCCACTCTTGTGGAGCTGTCATTCTGAAGGGGAGAAGCAAAAGCAAAAGAGATCACACATATCCGGATGACAGTGAGAGCTGGGAAGAAAATAAAAGCAGAGGAAAGGAATGGAGCGATGGGAGGGGCAGTGGTAGGGAGGGTGTCCGGGAAAACTTTTTGGAGAACGTGACAATGAAAGTGAACAAGGAGGAAGAGTCGACCATGTTGAGATGATGGCAGCAAACGGTATGGACAGACCGCTCTGTTCTGAGTGCATTATCTATTGATTAGATCATGTAATCCTTGCAACAGGCCTGCAAGATAAGCTCTGTCATTAACCCCATTGTACAGATGAGTAGGCTAAGGCACAGAGAAGGTAAGGGACTTGTCCTGCGTCACACAGCAAGGACAGAGTCAGGCTTCGAGTCCAGGGCGACCAGCTCCTAAGTTAGTACGTTTGACTTCTGTGCTTCCGGAAAGAAAGAGCAGCAAGTTCAAGATCTGGAGGTGGCACTGAGCTTTGGAGGCAGAGGACAACAAGGCTGCTGGTGTGACAGGGACCCAGTGTGCAAGAGGGAGAGTGGGAGGAGATGGGGTGGAGGGGTGGTCGGCAGCCAGATGGTGAAGGGTCTCGGAGGAGGGTCCTGACCCTGTGTCTCCAGTCCTGGGAAGTAGAGCCCAAGCTGTACCATGACAGACCCCAGCTTATGGCTTCCCCTCCCACTTCCAGCCTACAAGGAGCCCTTCGAGAAGCACCTCCTGCTGGGCGTCAGTGTCTCCTGCGTTGTCATCCTGGCCATCTGCATGTTGTGCTATGTCAGCATCATCAAGTGAGTCCTGGGTTCAGTGCCACCGAGCAGTCCCTTTGGAGTGCAGGGTGGCAGGGACCTGCCCCTCTGCAGTCCTCTCATTCAATAATACATATTTATTGAGCAGCTACTATGCACCTTGAGAGTAAAGCTGAGACCAGCATTTACAATGACCCCACATTTCTAAAACTGGCATCCTAGTGGGGAGACAGAAAATACATATTAACCACCAACAGATGGTTTTCCATAGTGACCCATGCTCTGAATGCACTAGACCAGGGTGGAGGCCAGAGATCTTCTGGGGTGCTCTTTGCGGAGGGGGCCAGTTTAAGACTCTCCAAGGAGGGAAAATCTGAGGGGGACCCTGACTGGGGAGAATGAACTGGCCAGGGACAAGCAAGATGGAGTCATCCCATGCCCTCTAGACCCTGGGTGCGTGGGCTCTAGACCAGGCAATTGGGGACATGTGGTAGGAGCCAGAGGAATTTGTGACAATTGTCCTGATAGAGTCAGGATACCTGGGTTTGAATCCTGGCCTTGGAGCTTGGTAGCTGGTGGCTGACCAGCTGCTGAAACCCCTGAGCCCAGGGTTCCTGATTTGCAGATGGAGAGTGATGGTGAGAACATATTTCATCAGCCAGAAGAGGCTGAATCACAGTCAAGGCTGAGGAAGGAGACAAGTGGCAAGTGTCTGGGAGATGGTAGAAGGAGCCTTGTTTCCAGAGAGCTCTTGCCAGCCCTTGGAATCATGGTGTCTCAGAGCCTCAGTTCTTCCATCTCTGAAATGGGACTAGCAAGCTTGACCTCGCCAAGTCAGGATTAGAGGTGACTGGGGATTATTAACATGACTGATGACAGTGCCCGCTCTTGGCCTGGCACACACGAGGTAGGCAGGGAATGCAAGTTCCCCCTCCATATTTTGTCACTGATGCCTCCAAGTAACCCTAGGCTCATCTCCTTGCTCTGAGCCTCAGTTTCCCCATTACCTATACCTCTTCCCACTCCCCATCACCATGTCGCAGCATGTGATCCTCTTTGCTATTCTCTGTCTTTGGTTTCTTGTTTTGTTCTGTTGGTTTTTTTAGACAGGGTTACCCAGGCTGGAGTGCAGTGGCGTGGTTACAGCTCACTCAGCCTCCAATTCCTGGGATCAAGTGATCCTCCCGTTTCAACTTCCCAAGTACCTGGGACAGCAGGCACGTGCCACCACATCTGGCTAATTTTCTTACGTTTTATGTTTGTTTTTTTTTTTCGAGATGGAGTCTTGCTCTGTCACTCAGGCTGGAGTGCAGTGGAGTGATCTCGGCTCACTGCAACCTCTGACTCCCATGTTCAAGTGATTCTCCTGAGTAGCTGGGATTACAGGCGTTTGCCACCACACCCGGCTAATCTTTGTATTTTTAGTAGAGACGGGGTTTTACCATGTTGGTCAGGCTGGTATTAAACTCCTGACCTTAAGTGATCCACCCGCCTTGACCTCCTAAAGTGCTGGGATTACAGGCATGAGTCACTGCACCCGGCCAATTTTCTTATGTTTTGTAGAGACAGGCTGTCACTTATGTAGCCCAGGCTGATCTTGAACTTCTACCCCTTTGTCTTTATTATGGCACTTATTGCCATGAATGTATGATCATTGTCATATAAGCATTTGTTTTTTTTTTTTTTGAGATGGAGTCTCACTCTGTCACCAGTCTGGAGTGCAATGGCATAATCTCGGTTTACTATAATCTCTACGTCCTGGGTTCAAGTGATTCTCCTGCCTCAGCCTCCCAAGTAGCTGGGATTACAGGCACCCGCCACCACACCTGGCTAAGTTTTGTATTTTTAGTAGATACAGGGTTTCACCATGTTGGCCAGGCTGGTCTCGAACTTCTGACCTCAGGTGATCCTCCTGTCTCGACCTCACAAAGTGCTGGGGGTACAGGCAGAAGCCACCATGCTCAGCCTCATCTAAGCATTTCTGTCTCCATTTATCATCCATCTGCCCCTCTTGAAGGTCATTTTCACCAAGGCGGGCATCTTTGTCTTGACCATTGCAGCCTCAGGGCCTGGCACAGTGAGTCGAACATAGAAGGTGCTCACTAAATCCGTATTGACTGACAACGTGGGCAGAGGCTAATTCAGAAGCCATCTGAGGACCTTACCTCCCAGTGATGATGCACCATGGCCCCAGGCAGGTCAGGAAGATAGAAGGCGTGTGTTCTTAGGTCCCCCAGCTTCCCAGGCCATCCCAGGCCACTCCCTGGTCATTTGCCCTCAGCTCCTCTGGAAAAGGGATTCTTGAGGGGAACCTAGAATCTTCTCTGAAGTTTGAGTCGTTCCTTAATCCCCTGGGGTCTCATTCCCACTGAAGACACAGGTGGTCTCATCAGGATCCCTGCTCTGGGTAACAGAATGCGGATTGTGAACCTGGCTCTGTCACCTACCAGTTGTCACGCTGCCTCCTTGCGCCTCACTCTCCTCATCTGTAGAATAGGGTTAGCAATAGAATCCATGTCACCAGGTTAGTGAGGAGTCAGTGGTTTGACCTCCAGAAACTAACTAGCCTGGTCTCTGATGCTAAATAAGTATTGGTGACAATGACCATTTTTATGGGAGGAGTGTTCATCTGTCAGTAATTCAATGCCTTTTCCTTTTGTTTCTCAGGATTAAGAAAGAATGGTGGGACCAGATTCCCAACCCAGCTCGCAGCCCCCTCGTGGCCATAGTAATCCAGGATCCTCAGGTAGGAGAGGGCGTGGATGGGGATGTGTGGGACTGCGTGCATGAAGAAGTGTGGTTCCGAACACCTGGGCTGTTAAGGACATTCATTGACTTCTGGAATGGCTTCATTGGCTTCTGGAATGGCAAAAGGGCAGTCAGGAGGGTAGCAGGGGAGACTGAGGCAGCAGCTGAATAAGGTCATGAGGAGACCAGAGGCTTTCCCACCCCTTCCCTTGGCAAAGGGCTCTTCTGGGGTTGGTCTCCTGTTTCTTTCCCTCCTCTTGAGAGTGACCCTTAGGCCACCATCTCTGTGTCATTCCCTGTCTAGAGGCCAGAAGGAGAGGAAGGAGAGGGTGACAGGCTTTCTGTGTCTTCCTCTTAAGCATGGGAAACTGCCCCCAAAGCACCAGCAATCCCCCCTGGGTTCTCATTGGCCTGAAGTGCATCCCACCCCTGAGCCAGGGGCGGAGTCAGCTTCCCCAAAGCAGTAATCCTGTGGATGAGAGGGTGGGATTTACCTGAGCAGGATTAGGGTTCTCTAGGAAGGAGAAAGGTGGGGATAACAGGTACTGTCTGGAAGAGAAGGTCTGGAGGTCCTTGCTACTCCAGGGACTCCATAGCAGGCTGTAGAATCCAGTGGTGTTGGCTTTGAATCCTGACTCTGCCACTCACCTGCAGTGTGGACTTGAGCAAGTTGCTTAATTCTCCAAGCCTCAGTTTCCTCTTGTGGGTTATAACAGTGTTTACCTGGTAGGGCAGGTATTGGAATTTATGGAGACAATACCTATAAACTGTGTATTCTAGCCTCTTGCAAATACTAAGTGCCATTAGTGTATCAGTTAGTGTTTGCTGTGTAACAAATGACCCCAAAATGTAGAGGATTACAGTAACACCTTTAGCTCATGCTTCTGTAGGCTGACATTTGGTGCTGGGCTCAGCAGTGAGGGTGACAGGGGAGGCTCGGCTGGGCAGATCTGGACTGAGCTGACCTATCCCCGTGGACTTTATCTGCGTCTGACAGCTGGCTAACTTTTACCTGGGACAGTGTGGCTGCCTGAGTCATGTGCCTCCCACCCTCCAGCAGGTCGGCCCAGGCTTGCTCACAGAGTGGCTCAGTTTTCAAGGCCGGGAAATCCCAAGGCTTCTTGAGGTCTAGGCGCAGAACTGACACAGTGTCACTTCCATCACATTCTGTGGGCCCAAGCAAGCCCTAGAGGCAGGTTAGATTCAAGGGATGGGAGGAGATTTAGGGCACTCCTCTGTGGACACTTTTGCTATCGACCACAGTCCCTGTGAATAGTAGGACAGTGTCATTAATTCCCAGGAAACTGAGGCTCAAAAAGCATAAGTGACCTGTTGGACTTCTGACCTGTGTGATGTCCAGGCTTGAACCGCATTGCTGCACTCCAGGCCTGGCTGCACGGCCACTCCGCTGTTTCATTGGCTGCTTCTGTATTTTAGGTGTCACAGTGGGAGAAGCGCCCCCGAGGCCAGGAACCAGCCAAGTGCCCGTATGTATCTGAACTTAGGTGGCAGCCGGCATGCACTGGGAAGGTGGCAGAATTGGAGCAGCAAGCCCCTAGCTCCATGTCTGCCTTCTCCTCCCTGGTCATTGTCCCTATGACATTAGGCTTCATGCGACAGCAGGAGGAGGGGTGTTCTGGAAACCCGCACTGCTGGCCAAGCCACCTGAGTTTTACTGGCATGTCAGGTACATGGCGAAGCCCCTCGGGAGTGCTGTTACGGTTTACAACCAGGGCAGCCGTGCCAGTTGTTAAAACATTGACTTAATCGTATACTTGTTCATAAAGAGCCACTATCCTGAGCACTACCGCTTTTTAAAAAAACATGCAGGATCTCACTCTGTTCCCGTGGTGTAATCATAGCTCACCACAGCTTCAGCCTCCTGGGCTCAAGTGATCCTCCCACCTTAGCCTCCTGAGTAGCTGATACTACAGACTTGCATTACCACGCCTGGCTATTTTAAAAGGTTTTTGCCTGTAGTCCTAGCTACTCAGGAGGCTGAGTCCTGAAAATCGCTTGAACCCAGGAGGCGGAGGTTGCAGTGAGCAGAGATCACGCCACTGCACTCCAGGCTGGGCGACAGAGTAAGACTCTGTTTCAAACAAATAGATAGATAAGTAAAATAAAATACGTTTTTGTAAAGACAGGCTCTCGCTGTGTGGCTCAGACTTAGCCTGATCCCTTCAGGGTGGCGCCGCTGCTGTGGCCGCCTTAGCTCCTTCCCTGGGGCCTGCAGCACCTCCCCACTCTCCAGAAACTAAAGACGGTCCAGGACCCCGCTTCAACCCTAGGACCTGCATCCTTGGACACAGGGTCTTGCTCTGTCCCGCAGGCTGGAGTGCAGTGGTTCACGGCAGCCTCAGACTCCTGGGCTCAAGTGATTCTCTGGCCTCAGCCTCCCGAGCAGCTGGAACTATAGTCATACACCAACATGCCCCACTCATTTTTAATTTTTTTAATTTTTGTAGAGATATTGAGACAGCCTGGGCTCTGTTACCCAGGCTGGTCTCGAACTCCTGAGCTTAGGTGATCCTCCAAAAGTGCTGGGATTACAGGTGTGAGCCACCTCACCCGGCTTCCATAGCCATCCTTCTTGGTCATGGCTTGGGATACGGTGTTGCTTTTAATTATCAACATCCATAAAGACTTCTTATTCAACAGATCTGAGCTTGTATTTGGTACCAGGCCATGTGCTAGGCTCCAGAAACCCTAAAGACACAGGCCTTACCACCAGGATTTCCCATTCTAGCAATATAAACTGATCAATCATTGATTATAAAGTTAGAAGGCATGTCTACAGTAGAGTGCCATCATGACATGGTGATTTCAGGCTGGGCTTTGAAGAATGAATAGGAGTTTTTCAAGTGTCAAAACTGAACCCTGACCAAACTTTGCCTTTGCAGACACTGGAAGACTTGTCTTACCAAGCTCTTGCCCTGTTTTCTGGAGCACAGCATGAAAAGGGATGAGGATCCCCTCAAGGCTGCCAAAGATAGGCCTTTCCAGGGCTCTGAAAAATCAGCATGGTGCCCTGTGGAGATCAGCAAGACAGTTCTCTGGCCAGAGAGCATCAGCGTGGTGCGGTGCGTGGAGTTGTTTGAGGCCCCAGTGGAGTGTGAGGAGGAGGAGGTAGAGGAAGATAAAGGGAGCTTCTGTGCATTGCCAGAGAGCAGCAGGGATGGCTTCCAGGAGGGCAGGGAGGCCATTGTGGCCCGGCTCACAGAGAGCCTGTTCCTGGACCTGCTTGGAGGTGAGAATGGGGACTTTTGCCAGCAGGACATGGGGGAGTCATGCCTCCTTCCACCTTCAGGAAGCACGAGTGCTCACATGCCCTGGGATGAGTTCCCAAGTGCAGGGCCCAAGGGGGTGCTTCCCCGGGGTGAGGAGCAGCCTCTGCACCTGGAGCGAAGTCCTCCAGGCAGCCCAACCCGGAGCCCAGACAACCCGACTTGCACGGAGACGCCCCTGGTCATCGCAGACAACCCTGCTTACCGCAGCTTCGACAACTCCCTGAGCCGGTGCCCATGTCCCGGAGAGCTGGGTCCAGACCCACTGCTGGCCAGACACCTGGAGGAAGTGGACCCTGAGATGCCTTGTGCCCTGCAGCCCTCTGAGCCAACCAATGTGTCCCCTCCTGAGCCAGAAACCTGGGAGCAGATCCTCCGCCGGAATGTCCTCCAGCATGGGGCGGCTGCAGCCCCTGCCTCGGCCCCCACCAGTGGCTATCGGGAGTTTGCACATGCGGTGGAGCAGGGTGGCATCCCGGCCGGTGCCATGGGGGGTTTGGGTCCCCCGGGAGAGCCTGCGTACAAGGCTTTCTCGAGCCTGCTTGCCAGCAATGCCGTGTCCCCAGGGACATATGGATTTGGGGCCAGCAGTGGGGAGGAGGGGTATAAGCCTTTCCAAGATCTCATTCCTGGCTGCCCTGAGGACCCTGCCCCAGTCCCTGTCCCCCTGTTTACCTTTGGACTGGACAGGGAGCCACCTCGCAGCCCACAGAGCTCACATCTCCCAAGCAGCTCCCCGGAGCAACTGGGTCTGGAGCCAGGGGTAAAAGGAGAGGACATGTGGAAGCCCCCACTCCTCCCAGAGCAGGCCATAGACCCCCTTGGGGACAGCCTGGGCAGTGGCATCGTCTACTCAGCCCTCACCTGCCACCTGTGTGGCCACCTGAAGCAGTGTCATGGCCAGGAAGATGGTGGCCAGGCCCCTGTCGTGGCCAGCCCCTGCTGTGGCTGCTGCTGTGGAGATAGGTCGTCACCCCCTACAACCCCCCTGAGAGCCCCAGACCCCTCTCCAGGTGAGGTTCCACTGGAGGCCAGCCTCCTTCCAGCCTCCCCGGCACCCTCGGGCAACTCAGAGAAGAGTAAATCCCCACTGTCCTTCCATCCTGCCCCTGGCAGTGCTCAGAGCTCAATCCAGGTCCCCAAAATCATGAACTTTGTCTCCGGGGAACCCACGTTTATGAGGGTCTCTTAGGTGTGTGTGGCCTCTTGTTGCTGAGGTCTGCAGATGAGGACTGGGGCTTATCCATGCCTGGGAAATGCCTCCTCCTGGAAGGCAGCCAGCCTGGCAGATTTCTAAAAGACTCGAAGAACCGTGGTATGAAGGTGTTAGTTCCCACTGACGTTGGCCTAACAGTGGGCTGCAGAGACTGGACCCCTCCCTGTGGCATTGGGCTGGGCTTGCCGCATCCCATGAGAGTAGAGGGCACTGGGGAAACTGAGGCCCTTGGGCACCTTGACTTGTGAACGAGTTGTTGGCCGTTCCATCCACAGCTTCTGCAGCAGAGTGTCCCGTTCCTGTTGTACCCACCCAAGGCAAGTTTTGTCCACCAAATCACCATGGCCCACGTCTCTCACCTGCCTCCATCTCACTGAACTAGAAGCTGAGCTTAGAAACTAACAAAGCCATCAAGGGAATGACTAGGGCAGCCTTGGGAAATCGAGGAGAAATTGAAGTTCAGGGAGGCGGTCATTGCCTAGAGGTGCTCATTCATTCAGCAGAGCTTCCTCGGGTTGATGCTGGAGGCAGAATCCTGGCTGTTAAGGGATTCTCCTTCAGTGAAGGAGAGCAACAGAGGACATGAAAAATAGCTGTGACTAGAGCAGGGACAGTCTGCTGCCAAACACCCACGCATAGTTGTATGGCTCCTCTTAATAATGGGACCCCCCAGAATAAGCACGCCCAGCTACCTTGTGGGCCAGACGCAAAGGACACGGTTGCTGGCAGCCACAGAGAAACCACGGACCCAGCCCAGGCAATCCAGACAGCAGACATCAGGCAGCGGCGACTCTGCACGTTGGCCCAGACGTCAGGTGCTGGGAAAGGCGGGGACCATGGGTTGAGTAATGCTTGTCTGTGTGTTTTGAAGATAGATAGTTTCATCACCTGTTATCTGTGTTTGCTGAGGAGAGTGGAACAGAAGGGGTGGAGTTTTGTATAAATAGTTTCTTTGTCTCTTTATTTTTTAATGTGTTGACCAAACATACTGCTAGGCACTGCTGTGAGTGCTATGTCTCTGTTAACTCCTGGAATTCACCCATCAAGAGGAACCAGAGCTCAAGAGGTTAAGGAACTTGCCATCAGTGTTTGGGTTCCGCAGACAAGAATTCAAATAGTTGATTGAGGAAGTGATCCCAGGAAACCCTGCTAAGGGAGTGGGAAAGTGAGGCAGGGAAAGGCACGAACCAACAAAGTATTACCCAAAAGGGATGTTGGTCCAGACCCCAAGAGAGTGTTCTTGGATCTCATGCAAGAAAGAATTCACTGCAAGTCCACAGAGCCAGTGAAAGCCAGTTCATTAGGAAAGCAGAGGAATGAACTCCATAGACAGAGCAGCCCCAAGCGCCGCTGGTTGCTATTTTTATGCTCATTTCTTGATGCTATGCTAAGGGTGGATTATTCACGCCTCCCTTTTTTGGACCATATAGGTAAGTTCCTGACATTCCCATGGCATTTGTAAGTTGTCATGGTGGCGGTGGGTGTAGCATTGAGGACAACCAGAGGTCACTCTTACTGCCATCGTGGTGTTGGTGGGTTAGAGCCGGCCTCTTTACTGCAACCTGTTTTATCAGCAAGGTCTTTATAACCTGTATCTGTAATGACCTCCTAGCTCATTCTGTGACTAAGAATGCCTTAACTTCCTGGGAATGCAGTCCAGTAGGTCTTAGCCTCATTTTACCCAGCCCTTCTTCAAGATGGAGTTGCTCCAGTTTAAACAAACAACTGACAAAAGGGTGAGTTATCCAACAGATTACCAGTGTGGGCAACTGACGCTTATCTGCTGGGGAATCTCTGAAAGACCATGCACGGCACGTGCCTGGAGCTATCCCTGCAAAGGGGAGGCCCGGGGCATTTGCCCACCCGCTCCAATCTGTCATTGGTTGAGAGCTGCCTCCAGGAGCATTAATTCTTCAGCACTTGCAGCTACTGCAGGAAAAAATTAATTCTTCGGCTGAGATTTGGAGGTGTTGAGAGACTCTGGTACACCAAGGAGACATGGACTGGACACTAACAGTGGCTGACACACTGTCACGGTCACACAGCTAGTTAGCGACAGGCCTATAGTGGTATCCAGACAGTGTCTCCATCACCCAGGCTCCCTGTAGTGATCAGCACTCCACATCCCAGGCGGGCAGATGACGGAGTGGGCCTCAGACGGACAGGCTGGAACCTAAAGCTCCAATGTCTGTATCACTTTGCATCTCAGTAGCTGCCCTGACTTCACACTTAAGAGGCTTGGCCATTTGAGATTCCTTCCTGCTCTAGGAGCCTTCATAATACACTGGAAATGATGGGGAGCTCTCTGTCTCACATGCAGCCTGACGTTTGTTAGAAACACCTCCTTGTGCCAGGCATGGTGGCTCATGGTTGTAATCCCAGAACTTTGGGAGGCCGAGGTGGGTGGATCACTTGAGGTCAGGAGTTCAAGACCAGCCTGGCCAACATGGTGAAACCCTGTCTCTACCAAAGAATATAAAAAGTAGCTGGGTGTGCTGGCAGGCGCCTGTAGTCCCAGCTACTTGGGAGGCTGAGATGGGAGAATTGCTTGAACCTGAGAGGCAGAGGTTGCAGTGAGCCGAGATCATGCCATTGCACTTCAGCTTGACTCGGGTTCCTGAATTATGACACATGAATATGTGGGCTAAGAAATAGTTTCTCTTGATAAATAAACAATTAACAAATAAAATAAAAATGAGACCCTGTGTTGGAAATAGATGCTTGGTGCTGCAAAGAAAAATCAGCACTGAGACAAAGGATTTTTCAGCAATGCCGTTTTTACTTCCTGGACTGCAGGAAGGGTACTCTCCCCACCCATCATGCCATGAGAGTACAACGAACAAAGGAAAACACACAAATTTATTCTTTACACATTTGGAGTCCTCCTTACTGCTGTGTCTGATCTCCTTTGGCTGGAGCCAGACCTCAATCTAAACTAAAATTCGATTGGCTAATAACTTAAAACTTTTCTAAACAGGTAAAAGCAATGGAGAGCTGGGACATGCCTGTGAGCACGTCCAGCACAGATATCTTGGTTAAAGTACAAGGAAATAGAATGTAATATGGGCCTGTAAGCACGGCATGTCTAACGACTACATAAGATAGAGCTTAACAAAGTTATTGGCACACTTATTCTTTAACAAGAAAGGAAACTTTAAAAAGGAACTTTTCTACTTCCATATCCTGTCTCAAAAAAGAAAAAAGAAACACCTCCTTGTTCTAACTCCCAATCTGTCCCTTTAGCTGCCCAAACCACACAGTTTATAGGTGGAGAAACAGTCTTAGAGAGAAAAAGGGATTTGCCCAAAGTCAAACAGAGAATGGCAGTGCCTGAACTAGCCTTCTAGACTTCTTGTCTCCAAAAACTCTTTATAATAAAATATAATAATTTTAGATAAAAATAGATATCTATTCAGGGTCAAGCAAGATGCTAAGTGCCGCCCACCGTGTCATTTACATCTCCAAACAGCTCCAGTCGGCAGGCTCACTGATTGTCTCAATTTTACAAATAAGGAAACAGGTCCAGAGAGGCTGAGGATTAGCTTAGAGCCACACAGCTAGGAAATCCCAAAGCCAGGATTTGAACCCAGGTCTGACCTAAGAGCTCCCAGCTACCATGATATGCTTGCTCATGTCATCCTGGCGCCTACTCAGATGTTGGCTTGAATCCACTTTGCCTGAGCATTGTCTCAGAAAAATCTAATTTAAAAATTAGGCAGCAAATAGAAAATATATTTGAGTGCTAGAATGCAGTTGAACTGGGAGCTCAACACAGAATAGAGGCTGGACTCATGGTTCCCTCCCCAGGATCTCAGGCAAAGGAAATCCGGGTTGTTGGCCTCAGCTCCTATTACCGAACTGGCTGGGCTTTGGGAAGCTGGAATGGAAGGCTGCACGGAGACACCTCCCATCTGGCCTTAAACCCACCCTGCCAGGCTCAGGGAAGCTGGAGAGAGGCCAGCCACTCTTCCTGCTTCCCCAGCTTCCTACAGGGAAGGAGGAAGCAGAGAAGCCGCACATCCTCCCAGTATTTACTAAGCACCTGCTGTGGGCCAGGCACTATGCAGGGTGCTGGGGCCACACCTGTAATGATAGAAGTGAGGTCTCTTCCCTTCCATCAGTGCAGGCAAAGGCATTACATAGACAGAAGGAAAAGTTGCAAACACTGATGGGTGCTATGTAGGGGGCAAGTGGGGCGTGATGTTTCAGTTGCGCCCCCAGTGTCTGGGGGAAGAGCAATCAGGACAAGAGTAGAGTGACTGCAGAGGCCGCAAGGCACCAGGATTTTGGCACAATCACGGTCCATAAAGATTGGCAACAGCAAACTTAGCCAAGGGCTGTGGTGGGATGTAAGGTCAGCCAGAGGGAGGAAGTTGTATTTTGGCTTAAATGCACATTAGCTCCGCCTACTGAGAAACCTGGTCCAATAGAAACCAGTCTTTTGTCAATCTCCCCAACCCCAAAACGTAACCCACCCATAATCAGGAGCCAAGGACAGGAAGTGGAGGTCCTGGAAGTGTTCCTCCATCAGGGCTCCCTTCCACCTTGCAGAAGTGCAGGATTTAGGTTCCTCTTGACAACAGCGACTGTGGTGGATGAAATCTTCACTGCTGGTGTTCTCACTCTAGAGTGCAGTGACTCCCACTAGGAACGAGGTGACTCATACCAGGGAGCTGCTGGCTGCCAGGGAGTTTCTGTGACAAAGGACTTTTAAAAAACCTCCAGAAAATGTGGCCCTTGGCCTCCCATGCACTAGTCTCTGAATTAATCAAAGAACCCAAGGACCTGTGGGGTGTGAAAACCCAGACTACTTCTCTGTGTCCCCTTTATCCTGCCTGTGCCTTAATCTTCTCATTTGTAAAACAGAAATGATAATAAAATCTGCATTGTAGTGGCCAGGCGTGGGGCCTCACACCTGTAATCCCAGCACTTTGGGAGGCTGAGGTGGGAGGATCACTTGAGGTCAGGAGTTCAAGACCAACTTGGCCAACATGGCAAAAACCCGTCTCTACTAAAAATTAAAAAATTAGCTGGGTATGTGGCAGACGCCTATAATCCCAGCTACTCAGGAGGCCAAGGCAGAAAAACAGCTTGAAGCTGGGAGGCAGGGGTTGCAGTGAGCCATGATGGCATCACTGCACTCCAGCCTAGGTGACAGAGCGAGATCCTGCCCCCCCAAAAAAAAAAGTCTGCATCATAGGGTTGTCCTGAAGATAGCTTCCATTAGCGTCATCTTCATCATCTCTTGAATTTCCTCTGACCTGATGGGCACAGGAGGCAAGAGTGAGAAGGTACAAACAGCTTAGATATTGAGACCAGCCGGCCCTGGTCATTGCTCTGGGCTTCCTCCAAGCCCCCTGGCATGGTCTCTAATGATTCCTGCCACCTTTGGTTAATCTGGACCTAAGAGCTTGCCAGCCTGTGCCGTCCCACAGCCCCCCTGTACTCTTGGGCTATGCCTGCTCTTCTGGGGCACGTTCTGGCTGCAGGCCTGGAGATTCACTCCTTCATTCAAGTATTTATTGAGCAACTTCTTCCTGAGAGGCAGTTGTTAAAGCAAAAAAATAAATAAATAAATTCAAATATGAGCACGGATCAAAGTTTTATTTTAAATTTGTCAGAAGGGAATCAAAAGAGAAAGAACATCGGTTCAAAGAACAATCTTAGGAAGTAGTTTTATAGTCAGACAAATGAATGTCTAGAATCCAACAGAACTTTGTGCTCTGATGGAAACGTTTCAGGCTGTTCACTAAAGTAGCCCCAGCCCTTGAAATGTGACTTGTGCGACTAAAGAACCGGTTTTTAAATTTTACTTAATTGCAGTTAATCAACATTTACATGTTAAATGTTAGTAGCTGCATTAATTAATTAAATAACATTTAAATTATTATTTGTATGTATTATTATTTATTTGAATGTCATGATCATGTAAATTTTATTCAAACGTACCTCTGTGCAGGGGA